GGGCTTGGTGGTGTGGACTTGGGCCAGGTCAATTTACTCATTCTTTTCCCTACAAAACAGACGTTATGGTTATATATTTGACATAAATTTAACAATATCTATTTCTATATAACTTTTCAACATTAGGTAAGTTTCTGATTTTAACATAACATATTAATTATTCTTCTTAATATTATTACCAGGGTTATCAATTTTGGAATCAAACTGATGAAAATGGTTACTTCACGATAAGTAGCTTTCGATGAGATACTTACATCCTGAATGCTTGGGTCGCATGAGTGATGGGGGACTACAAACATGACACTGATATTGTTGTCACGCCAGGTTTTAATCTCAATGCCTACTGAATTTTATATTTGAAAGTTCAAAAAAAATTCTTACATGCAATTTATGGAGAAAACTAACATATTTCCCTCAAATTAATGATTTTTAATACATGAAGTCAAATTCAACTAGGAAATCTTGTATACAATCCTCCAAGAAATGGTCCAACCCTATGGGAACTTGGGATCCCCAATCGTACTCCTGCTGAATTCCACGTGCCTGATCCATCGCCGGAGTGGATGAACCATTTATTTACTAAACAAAATCAGAAGTAAGCTCCTATTACATGATGACCATTGACTTTACATTAATTGAGCTTTTCTCCAAAGAAATTCTTATCTATTTCTATTAATCACTTCTATTACATTCAGGTATAGACAATACGGATTGTGGGATAGATATACAGATTTATATCTTGATCAAGATCTAGTTTACACTGTTGGAACCAGTGATTACAGAAAAGATTGGTTCTTTGCTCATGTCAACAGGTATTTAGCAAACACTTTTATGATCATTTTGTTCCTCTGTAAGATTAACTCGTAAATTAATTCCAAATTATTGTAGGAGAACAAATAGTACATCCTAGTCGACGACATGGCAAGTTTCATTCGATTTAACAAATGTTGCGAGGACACAAACCTATATGCTCCAGATAGCACTAGCTTATGCCACCTATGCCGAAGTACAAGTATGGTTTATAAAAAGCATTCATTTCTTATAGAATATTATAGAATAGTGAGGAATTATGAATATATCTTTTTAATGTTGATTCATTTCTTCTTATAGGTTTGATTTAATAATCTGTTCACAGCACGCCCTCACTTTACAACAAGGTTGATAGGAAAGGATAATGCAATTGCAAGACATGGACTTCATGGATTATGCTCGTTATATAGCATTAATGTACCAGGATCTCGACTAGTGCATGGAAGAAATACAATATATCTAAACCAATCAAGAGGCAAAAACTAGACTTATCAATTGAATTAGTTTACATGCTGCTTAGTATGACTACACTCTCATCGCTGTTGCATCCTCTCCATTTGACCAAGTACTCTTGATGACATTTTCTAGAAGGTCGATAGTTCGATGGTCAAGAATCTCTT